AAGGGATAACCCGACAACCTTGGAGGAGATGTTGCTCCAATTGGACATGGGGGAGAAAATGGCTAGAAGAGAAAAGCTGAACGAATATGGGCAGCATAGAATGTCTTGTGCCAACAGTTCAGACATTCTTCGAACTGCAAGGAACGCGCTAAACCAGTATCCTCGCTTTTCTCTGGATGGCAAAGATGCCATGTACCGGTCTTCTTTCCATGACATGTCTCCTTTGCTAACCACAAGTGTTGGTGTTAGAAAATCAGTATGCTGCAACCGCGAGCTGAGGAAAATGGAGATGAAAACTCAAACTCAAACTCAAAACATGCCCCCGGCAATAGCAGGGGCGCGAGTGGTTTGGTGTAAACCAGGAGTAGTAGCTAAGTTAATGGGACTTGAGACCATGCCAACATCAATACACAGAAAGCATAGTAAGGATAGAGTGAGTGCAATTATCAAAAGCCAACGCCTGAGGAAACGGTACCAGATGGAGAGTAAGAGAAGAGGAAGGGTGGTGGTGGAAACGAGCTGTGGTGGCCACAACTGTAGTGTAAAGAGAGGGACGAATAATCAGAATGTGATGAGCTCTTGTTCAAGAAATGGCTATTGCGTTATGAAACCCGTCGCAATGGACCTACCAAAAGCTCACAAAGAAGTAGGCTGGCCAATGCGAGGTGGCGTTTTGTACAGAAATAACAATGACATGTAGTAAGATTTTTCTTTTTACTTATTTGTTCAACTCAGGTGCTTTTGTCAATCATATATAGAAGCGGACTATCTTTTGTGTATGCCAAATTAATTGTCTCTATGTTTTTTCTAATTAGTTGGATGTGTGATGTGTATAAAAATTTCATATGTGAATCCGAAGTTCTACCAGTAACAAGTTTTAAACTGGAACTGCTAATGTACCAAAATTGTGTTTGAACATTTTAGCGTCAAACGTTTGTAGGGTTTTAAGGTGTGAATAGGAAAATGTACCTTTTGAACTGCACATCTTCATCTAACCATTTCTTTGCCTTTAAATACTAAGGCATTATTTCAGATATTTTCAACGAATTGCCAAATGTTTCTCCATATTTTTAAAATCAAACAGAATCTGCATTGTGTGATTTGTTTCCTATCTTTGAGTTTGAAGTATTGCTACTCCAACAAGGTAAATTCGTTCTATGTTTGAGACAAAATAATCCTATACCTTGAATACTGTGAGGGGATTAAATTCTTTAAGGACACACAATGAATTCTGTGGGCCCGAATTAATTTACTATGTTTGTGTTATTCTAGTTATTCGGTTTTCTTTACTGTTTCGAACACAGTTTTTAATAAGCTTAAGGAATTTAAGATGGGAACTATTTCTTCTGATGGCTGATAGAGGAAAAATTGTGGCAGTTTTTCTGCTACGAAGAAAGAAAAAAAAAAGCAGCAGCAGCGAACATTGTCGGATGGTCCTTGGCTGAATCTGTCTGTGTTTAAAGTCTTGGGGCGCAATTTGCTTGATCGATTTGCATCAAAATTATTTATTGAGTAAATTGCATCTTGTTTTTGGATTCTTTTATTAAAGGACGCATATACATTTTGGATTGCTTGGACCAAAGGCCGCTTAACATGCCACCCTCAGTCATTGTTTTGGTTTGACTAATGATGGAATTATTATGACTTGGTTTCAATATCACATATTCACAATCAGAGATCAAAAGTCAAAAGTCACGCTTGACATGAACGGTTGCAAAATATGTTTACTCCTCACAGTATGAGTATTCTTCACAAAAAAAAAAAATAAAAAAAAATAAAAAATCATGCAGAATACTGATCGTCAACACAAAAGAGATTTGCCATGAATTAGCACTTGGCTTCACAAAGTTTGCTTCAAACGTGCCAAATGATACCAGTTCTCACGGTTGAAATAGAGTTCTCTGGTAAAATTACTTTATGTAAAATGTTACAACCTGGCAAGGATTCTGATGTTTCAAGCCATTATTCGAAGAGATTGGAAAGGACGGTTTGATGACAGCAAAATGGATTCTATTTTTCTTTCACTTTGTCTTATATTTACTATTTTTTATTTCCTACCCTTATGATTGATAAAACATAAATGATATAAATGTTGAGGCAGATGTTTCATTTTCATTTCCTTTGAGCCGAGGGTCTTTCGGGAACAGTCTCTCTATCTTCATCAGGTAGGGATAAGGTCTGCGTACACTTTACCCTCCCCAAACTCCAGTTGTGGGCTTGTTATTGTTGTTGTTGTTGTTGTTATTGTTAAGGCAGATGTTTATTACATGATGATCTCTTATTATATATTTAGAGTTACATGCATGCTTAGGAGTAACATATATTCCCTATATTTTTAAGGTAAATTTATTTTTTCCCTTGACCAATATAAAACTGTTTGTTAATATACAATTTGGTAGAATGCATGACATCTTCAAGGAAGTAAGACATTATTTAGGCTTATACTAATACTCGAAAGAATTGAGATCATAAATATAATAATATATAAAGATGTACATATACTTGTTCGATTAGAGTAAGAGATCAAATTATTTAAGTGTTGTAATGACTTAGTTGAGAAGTCATTTGAATTTCTTTTAAAACCCTCGTAATTTTCTACTCCTGTTTGGAGACTAAAATCTTCTTGATTTTCTACTCTTTCTTTGAGATTTAAAGTCTTTATAATTTTCTCTCATTTTTCAGATAATAAAGTCTAAGTGACTTTTTACTCATTTGGAGATTAAAATCTATGTGACTTTTGACTCCGATTTATTACTTAATTGAATGTTTAAAAACTTTGCCATTCTTGTAATTATGATAGTGTGAGATATTACTCGGTTTGAAGATTAATATCTTCATGGTTTATTAAGAATAATTGTGTCGTGCTTAATAAATATGACACACACAACAGTTCCGGTGGTTGGCTTTATAAGACAGACTATCTCTTCAAGCCACTTTGTACCTCCACCGATATCGATTTCGGCAGAAAAGCCCAAAATAATTTTGGCACTAATTTCAAGAGATGACAACAAATGATGTTCTTTTATTTGACTGCTCTAAGTTTGCAAAAGTTCATTAAGGAGGATGTTCTAGTCCTACATAAGGAACTCTCGACAATGATTATTGTGACTGAGGCATGGAAATGTTCTGACTTCCAATACATGAACTATATCCTTAGTGGATTGGAAGATGACTTGTGTAAACTGATTGTCACGACCCAAAATCCACATAGTCGTGAAGACACCTAACCTAACCCTCTAGGTAAATCCGACAACAGTCAATACAATTCTAATGAAATAAAAGTGGTCAACAATAATATAACTGAATTCCATATAATATCCCAAGGACTGATAGTATAAGTCACGAGCAACTATGAATAAGATTATAATTTCAGTTTGAGAAAAGATACATCATTTATTCGAAATTTACGTATACAAAAATATAAATCCTAAATTATCGGAAACAATTAGTAGGTGGTATCTGGAGTGTGGATACGTCTTCAATTCAAGGCTCTGTCTTCCACAGCTAAACCACTACAAGATCTGCACGCAAGGTGCAAAAGTATAGCAGGAGTATAACCGATCCCATGTACTCAATAAGTATCTTGACTAACCTCGCTGAAGTAGTGACGAGGTTTTTAAGTCAAAAGATACTCACGAATATAACCTGTGCAGTAGATTTGCAATAGAAACAATACTAGAAATAACAGAGAAGAGTACAAGAACAAATATGCGAAGCAGTAATGATTGCAAAAAGACATCACAGTCAGTATGAGGAATGTGTTTAAGAAATCAACTTAAATGGCACGGTAACACCCTTCGTGCATTTATCTCATCCTCACCAAATATGTGTATGTATGACAAATTAATTGGCACGACAACACCTTTCGTGCATTTATCTCATCCTCACAGAGCATATGTATAACAGTACCAACCAGGTAAAAGAAATGTCCATAATAATATCTATGAAATAGAGAGTACACAGATAACAACAATAAACAAGTCAAAAGCATATGGAAAACAATAGCAGACGAGGTAAGAGACAAAAAAGTAGTGACAACAAGTAAGGTAGAAGAACATATGTTTCAACAACTAATGAGGTGGAAGGTTTAGGTGGCATCACAACAAACGAGAAAAAGGCATGATGTACATATAACAAACAAGAAGGTATACATGAACGTAACAATAAGTAACAAATAGAAGGAACATATAGAACAATATCAAATAAGGAAAAAAGGCAAAAATGTGACAACCACAAGCATCATAAAAATATAGGTGTAACAGTAACAACTAAAGATAAAGGCATAAATGTATACACAAGGAAAATATATCACAAAATAATGCATGTTTCTCGTCCGCACATGCACAAAAACTCCATTCATGCCAAAAACACATGATAATATAGAAATAATGGCACGACATCACCCTTTGTGCTTTTACTCTCGTCGTCACAAGATAATGTAAATGCAATGGCACGACATCACCCTTCGTGCTTTTACTCTCATTCTCACATGATAATGTAAATAAAATGGCACAACATTATCTGTCGTGCATAATAATATATATTAAATGGCACGACATCACCCTTCGTGCTTTACACTCTTCCTCACCATATATAAACACACACACATCAACAACCAGCAAGGCAGGAAGCATGGATAACATCAAGAAGAGTGGTTAAATAAAATACACCACGCGAATGAGAATCACAACTCTTACACAATTAAACAATTCAAAAGACTTCATGAACCCTAAGTGTCTCAACAAATCTCTAAGGCGATCTTCAACTCAAGTATGGAACCCAAGCATCTCTAGAAGAACGGTCGTAGCAATGTATTCGTGATTAGGTATAGTGATGACCGAATTTAGCACATCAATAGTTTCCCAAAAATCCATCAAATTTAATGAAGTTATAATAAGCTGAATCATGGTTTCTGACATTGAATTTCATATTCATATTATTATAGAAGTCAAGTAAAACATGAGGCAAGAAGTTCACATAATCCAATAAGCACAAAGAATCGTATAATCTATCCCGAGCATGGATAACCTGGCACATACATGTACGCTTGTCACCTCGCATATGCATCACCCCGTATGTAGCAAACAATATCAATTAATAGGAAAAATTACTCCAACAAAGCTAGGCAAGACACTTACCTCAAAAAAGCTAAATTAATACTCTAAAAAGCCTTTCCTGCGTGAAACAACCTCCGGATGGCTCGAATCTAGCCAAAATAATTTAATATTATAAACAAAAGCCATAGAAAATGATTCTGAATAATAAAGCATCGATCTTTAACTAAAATCTTTAAGTCAACCCAAAAAGTCAATCCCGGCCCCGCACTCCGTAACCTGACAAAACTCACAAATTCTAAATACACATTTTGATAACAGTCCATCCATACCAATTTCATCCAATTCGGACATCAAATCGGTCTTCAAATGATCAATTTGTGTTTTAGATGGGTTTTTACTAAAATCGCCAGTTTCTTCAGTTTGATTCATCAAACAATTGCTAAATTCAAGGTTGGAATCAGGAAATATAAACAAATTCGAGTCAAAATAGTTACTCCAATCAAAATTGTGAAAATTCCCTCCAAAATCGCCCAAATCCGAGCTCTGAAACCTTGTGAGAAAAGTGACTAAATTCCGGAACAAGTAAAAAATGCAACAGTTGTTCTAGCTCGAATCAGATCCTAGATGACTCTAAAACTCACATTTGATAAGCCCAATATAATCCTTGCAAGATTACACCCAAGATAGACATTTGAATCACCTAATTTGGCCTTAACACGAGGGAATTAATGTTTTTAAGTTTTAACGGATATTTGAAAATTTCAGGGACATAAATGATATTTTCGTAATTATTTACCCTAGAAAAAGAACCAGCAATAAGAAAACCTTCGTTTTAGCACCCAAAACTCATTCAGAACCTCAGAACACAAACCATATATGCATTTCAAGCACAGAATACGCTATGAACCTGCTCGCGTACCCAAAACACGGAAAGAGGTCATCTTGACCCGATATTGACCACGACCAAACTCCAAATTCT